ATATAATATAATAATATTTTATTTCCATTAAACTGAAATAAAATAAAATAATCAGTTAACTTTTTTTTTCAGTGGCCCTAGTCGTCTTCCCTACATTGGTTATTGTCTGGCCACCCTTATAAATAATTTCTGGCTAATGAGCTGCAGTTGTTTCACATAAGGGATGACGTTACAGGGTTTTATCATTCTTATTATCTGCCTTTTGTTCAGGGTTTTTCTTGAGTTCGCAGCTGCGCACTCTGCAACGCAGTGAATTTATGGTAAAGTTCACTTTTGCAATAAGCGCTTCCTGTTCAGACTTTCAAAATAAGGGCATCCCCGCAAATCTTTGCACAGACCACATTGCACCTCTGTCAGATTGTTTTGTCTTATTTAATAAACAACCCATTTCCGGTTTTGTCCTTATTTCTCAAGAATGGAGGCGTGCGGGTAGAAAAGAAAATCTATTGATGTGGAGACTGAAAACACATTTAAGAAAAAAGGGGGTCAAGAGCGAAAAAAGGAGGACACTTCCAAGTCACAGCATTAAGACTCTAAAGTCGCTCTCCGTTTATGGTTTAACCCAGAAACTTTCAATAATGGGATGCGGGAGATCAGCTCAGCCCTCCAGCAGCTGTTCAGGGGGCCGAGGATAGGACCATCAGTGCTCTGCTGTTTCTCCTCCTTGAGTCTGGATGCGATCAGAGCTCAGATGCGTAAAGCTGGAGAGGGCAGCCCTCTGAGGAGCCTTTCCTAAAGTCTAAATCCGGCTTTTCTCCCTCATCGTGACACTAAATCGATCACTTTCCAGCTTCCAGAAGCGGATGGAGTGAACTGTGCCAAAAGAGGAGGGGGGTAGCAGAGACTGCAGCTCGGTTGCGTGTGATGATAGGAGACACAATGACGCTCCTGTCTCTTCTGGGTCGGATCATGCGCTATTTTCTCCTCAGGCCGGAGACGTTGTTCTTGTTGTGCATCAGTCTGGCGCTGTGGAGCTACTTCTTTCACACCGACGAGGTGAAAACCATCGTCAAGTCCAGCCGGGATGCCGTGAAGATGGTGAAGGGGAAAGTGGCGGAGATGATGCAGAATGAGCGCCTGGGAGGCCTCAGCGTCCTGGATGCGGAGTTCTCCAAGACGTGGGAGTTCAAGAATAATAACGTAGCCGTGTACTCCATACAGGGCAGGAGGGACCACATGGAGGACCGCTTCGAGGTGCTCACCGACATCACCAACAAGAGCCACCCGTCTATATTCGGGATATTCGACGGCCACGGCGGAGAGGTACTTCAGCACCACAGGCGCATTGGTTTTATTACAGCTGCTGCAGTGAGTTCATGCGGGCAGAGATACTGCGGCTATTAAAGTTCATTTAGAACAACACACATGCATGTGAAAAAAATAAAAATAAGTAATCATAATTGCACACTTAACATTTTAATGCGAATAGGGGGTTAAAAAAAATAATGAATTGCAAACCTTTATTCTCACACAGCTCAATTTAAATAGAATGTATTAACTGGTTCATTTTTTTTATTTGATTCATTTAAAATAATATCTCAGTTTTTATTCTGTATTAACATTATCTTGTAGGCTTGTTAACACATTCTCAATCAAGGGTGTAACTTTGTGATGAAAGTTGGTGGGGACCAGTGGCGGTTCTAGACCAAATGTTTCAGGGGGCCAGGAGGGGGCCAGCGTGTTTTCATGGGGGCAGAGAAAAGCATGAAATAAAAAACAGTGCAAGGGGTTTAAATATATTAAGATGGCTGCATGAAGTGAAACTTTTATTCAATTAGGTTTACGGTAATTAAAATTCTATGCCTTATTAGGTCAATATACATTCATAATTTAGGAATTTTTGACATAATTTAAGGTAAAATGACAGTTTTTTTTATAGAATCAGAATTAGAACTCAAGAAAAAATGATAAATTCCGCTGTAAAAATTTGAGCAATTTGTTTTGAAAAAACATTTAGCAGAAGAAAACTGGGATCCTACCTATCTCAATACCAGTGAAGCTATCACCTTATTGCTTTTAAATAATTAGAAAAAACAGAGTTTGTAAAGAAAAAAATTAAATAGATCCAAAGCACCTATCAGTAACTATGTCTGTTACAGCGCATATCATCATTAGAATTTATTTGAGTATTATGTCTTCAGTACAGGGACCATAACAGGACGTGATCTACAGGGGCACTGGTCCCCGTTGGTTCCTTTCTAGAACCACCCATGGTGGGGACACTTTAAGGGTGGTGGCTGATGATGGACTTACAGTTATTCGACACAAATGCTTCAATAGGGTTTAAATGTTCTAAAAATGAGTTAAAATATATATTTATGCTTTCCTATTGTTGAGAACACAAAAGAACAGAAATATATTGATATTTATGGATAGTTAGACATTAATTTATAGATAAAAGGAGGAACGGCTGTTTCCGATGCCAACAGCAATATATCATGCCTCCCTAGTATGTACACGATTTCAGTTTCATTCATTCATTCATCCATCAATCCATCTTTGGATTGATGGATTGATGGATGTTTTCCCTTTCATCTACATGAGTGATTATCCTTCTTCAAAAGTGGCTAAATCAAATGTAGAAAATTCTCCCACATATTGCTGAGAGCCAAAGTCTATGTATTGAAATTATTGGCGGGGACGTGTCCACATCAGTCCCTCAGAAAGTTACGCCTGTGCTCTTACTACATCTTGCGCTCTGGGAGTTGACTTGAAGCTAATAACAATGAGTTTTGTGTGCTGTGTGGGTTTCATTGTGTGCATGTGTGCTCTTGGTCCCTCATTCACTCCCTCTCCTGTCAAGGGTCAGTGTTTTCTCATGCTGAGCCTGACTACTTCTTGTCGCAGACACCATCTGTCACTGAGAGGTTGTAGTTTAAGACTTCTCAAACATTAAAACTATGAATTCTGTCAGCCTCGACATGTGCATATATATTTATATTGGCCTAAAATACATGTCGAGGCTGGCAGGAACTCTAGTTTTTACTTTTTTTTTTTTTTGCTGAAAAGGTTGCATTAAAAAAATAAGGGATATGGAATGCTATTTCACATTGATTAAAGAAAAAGCATGTCTACTCATGTTTTGTTGGATGAGAGGAAGGCTAAAATGCAGTCAGGACCTTGGGATGAGCTTGGTGGAGCATTAAGCATGCTGGAGGAACCAGCTAAGAGCAAAGACACCAATGGGGTTAAATGCTGAGGGAAGAGTGGAGAATGACGTTGATTTTAGGTGAGTTTATTTGGGATTTATGAACAACAGCACTGCAAAAATGATCAAGAGATGAATAAAATGAAGTGTATTTATCGTTAATTTGAGTAGGTAAATAAGATGATTTGCCAATGGAATTAGTATTTTTACTTTTGAAATAAGATAATTAGATAAAATGCTCTTGAAATAAGACAATGCAGTTATTTTTTCTTATTTAGAATTTAAATTGTCTTGTTCTATCGGCAAAGTGTCTCACTTACATTCTCAATTCAAGAACAAATGCACTAATTTTAAGAAAAAAATACTTACTTAGATTTCAGTATTTTGCAGTGAGTGGAGGAGAGCAAACAGGGACTGAGAAAAGGTAAATAATTAAAACGAAGGAAGCTGAAACCGTGTGTAGAACCTCAGGCAATGGTTTATTAAATCATTCATGCTTCATCTGATTTCATGTATAAACATCTATCTGATCTCGAAAGTTTTAGTTTCCTTTTTTTAGAAGAAACTTTCCCATCAAAGTTTTGCAGCTATCACAACTTATTTCTGTGTAGCTATGATACATCGACCAACTGATAAAAAGGGTAGGGGATAAGAGTTTCTCTTTAGCCCAAGAGTTTACAACTTTTACAATCCAGAGGATTATAAAAGTTTAGCAAGATAAAACTTGTTAAAAGGCCTTTTAAAAAAAATCAGCCTCTAACTTTGAAAAATATGTACAATAGGAAATGTGTCGTAATATTAAAGAAATTGTTTTTATTTTTATTTGGAGGTAATAAAATGATAATAAACTCTTGAAGAATTGAGGATAGGTATTTTCTAATAGAATGCTGATATTTGTGGAAAATAATAAAATATAAAATATTTTTCAGACTAATGACAAGGAAAATAGATCTAAAATCTAAAGTGTCATTCTGTTTTGTAAATTCAATGCAATTACTCCATAAAAAACCCCAGCAACGACTGATAAGATATATTTTTGTATTTTATGTATACTTAAAAACACTTGCTTCTCTTCATTCTAGCCAACATTATTAATGAAGTGTCCCGAGAGACCATTCTGGCTTCATAGCAACATGTTGCAGACAACAGCTTGTTTGTTGTGCATTTGTTGTACAGAAAAGCATATTTATTAATATCTACACTTTATATATGCTTTCAAAAAACAATTTAAAACCTTACTTTAAGAAATATTGAAAATGCACCCCTTTAAACAGTATTTTGTTTGGTTTCTAAGGAATTAAAGAGTCAGAAGCATGACGTTGACAAACTATGGCAACAAAATCAGGGTAGCTGGTGTTTACTTGTGTAGACCTCTTTGTTTATTTTAGTCCTCTAAAATAATATTTGTAGTTCTTATCAGTTCTACCCTCCCCACTATCATTCTGTCATTATGCCCTCTGTTGCTTAGTTTGTTTTCCTTTTTTTATGCACTTTCCTATATCCTTTCATTGTTTGTCCAACTTTTTCTCTATATATTTTTCCCTGTAATCCTTTTTTTAACATGAATATATGACTTTGCTTTGGATTTACAGTGAATGTACAAAGGTTTCTGTAAATGAAGTCATTCTGATGCAGAGCTATGGCCATATATGGACAGAATATACATCCCCTTGTGTTCCAGTCTTGAAAATAAGCAGAAGATATCTTAGACGTGTCTGTTTCTTTCTGTGTGGCTCGTTGAATGAGTTGGGGCCCTGAAAATGAAAGTCAGCACAAGCTGCTGCTGCTTTCAAGACTTGATTTACAGAGACTAATGCTGTGGAAACAGACTCATCTTTTTACAAGGCTTCTACATCAGAATTATACCTATACATTGAGAGAGGTGCAAAGACATTTTATTATAACAGTGATGTCAGCAAGAAACCCTGGCTACGCATGAGTCCACTTTTAATACTGCAGCTCCCATATTTCACATTGACTAATTAAATACAGCAGCAGTAAAATCTTTGGCTATTAAAGAGATTTGCTGCTACATTAATCCTGCAGTTTTTTTTCTGCTGTTTGCTGCAAATGGAAAACTGCACTTAAAGCTCTTTTACTCATCCCATCTCAAAGTGGGCCACTCTATCCAATTGGATTATGCGCATGTACCCCTTCAACAGGAAGGATGGCAAAGGGAGCGGTGCAGAGGGATGATTTCTCCCCCATTTTAAGGAGGATTTTGCTTTATCTGCCATTCCTGAATCTCTGGTAAATACCTCTCCTGCTCTTTGTACAGCGGTGCTGCAGCAGATTTACAATGTTACATGACAAACAGCGTTTTTGTATAGTTGTTAAAAATTAAATCTGTGCTTATCAATAAACGCTACATTGAGGAAAGCTTGTTGCTCTTTGAGCTTGACAAAAACAATGTTGAGAGGATGTTTTGATTGCTAACATTGTAGCTCCGCTAAATTTTGCCCTGACTAGTCAAGATAAGTTTTTATTCTGAAAGTGGAAAATGATTTAAGAATGGTGATGCATGTAATATGGTTGTTTGAATGGTTGTTAGAATCTGTGTAATGACTCAGAACAGAGGGACCCAATATTCAGACTAGACAGACAGTGAAATAACTTTTAAAAAGTTTATTTAAAACTGGCAGATCAGAGTAGCAGCAGCTAGGACCTCTGAGGAAGAAAACTCTGAAGAGTTTAGTGGTTAGTGATCATGTAAATCTACTGGAGGAAGATTATGAATGTGAGTCACTAACCTGGTTTACAAGTTAAGTCCATGCCCAGAGAATGAGCTAGAATCCAGCTGCTAGGCTGCCAACAAGATGCTGTGGGTGCTGCTCAGTGTCCCAGATGCTGCAGCACTGGAGAAACAAGCAGGAGTTCGAAGACTAGTCAGACAAAGAGATCAGAACAGGAACAGGCAGGCTCAGAGGTCCAGGAATCCAAAGCCCAGTCAGGCAAACAGATCAGAACAGGAACAGGCAGGCTTAGAGATCCAGGATTCCAAAGCCAGGTCAGGTAAACAAATCAGAACAAGAACAGGCAGGCTTAGAGATCCAGGGGTCTAAAGACAATTCAGGCAAAACTTTCAGATGGGAACAGGCAAGCTTAGTGGTTGAGAGGCAGAACAGGTCAGGATCAGAAAATCAGAAACATCAAGGTACTCTAAAAAAAACTCTCACCACTGGCTAGAGAGAACAATAATAATCTGCCGCTGATGACTGGATGCAAGCAGCTTAAATAGAGGCAGGAGCAGGTGGATAAGATGAGAGGTAATGAGAAACTGGGCAGAATTGGACAGGTGAATGAAATTAACAATTAATCCAGTCATCAGTGCAAAGATTGTGACAATCTATTGTCTTAGAAGAACTTGTCACATTGATACTAGCAGCTGAAAGCTTTTCTTTTGTGCAGGGAGAAATTGAGAGTCTAACATGGCAAGCTAGAGTATAAGCTAAACAAACTTCCTTCCTGTTTATGAATATTTTAAACACCTTAATGGCATTTCGGAAATAACAGACAGTCACTGTGGAAGTAGAACACCTCTGTGTGCTTTCATTTTCTTTTTATGTGTCTAATCACCACTGTGGGTCTGTTTGTGTTGCTCTGGCTTCCTGTCATCCCTAGGCTGCAGCTGACTATGCGAAGGCCCACCTGCCAGAGTCTCTGAGGCAGCAGCTGCAGGCCTTTGAGAGGGAGAAGAGGGAGAGCGCTGTGTCTTACGCCAGCATTCTGGAGCAGCGCATCCTGGCCGTGGATCGGGAGATGCTGGACAAGCTCTCCACAAACCATGATGAAGCAGGTCAGCGGGGTGGGGGGTGTTAAGAAGCGGATAAATGAACAGGGATGGAGAATAATAATAATAGTAATACTGATTACAATAAGTCCAGTTATACTGTTTATCAAGCCTTAAAGTAAACACACTAATGCTATTTTTTGTTTAGAAAAACATCATAATTATGCTGATGATAAGCCTTTATATGATCCACCTGAAAGCTAACTTATAACATTTTTCATTTTCTATTACATAATTGATAAACATGACATCATCGAATGGCCCAATTGCATAACGGTATACTACTGAACATTTATTTATGAGTCAGAGAAACAGCATCAAATAATCTGTTAGTGGGATGAAATTTACAATCTACTGCTTTAGAAATAGGTGTGCTCAAAGTTACAGTGAAAGTTTTTACTGTGATTGTAAACATCATGACAGAACAGGTAATATTAGTAGTCAGCATAAGCCCTGTAGCTCTAATCAAATAAATATAATATACATTTTGATCAAAACTGAACCTCAAAAAAAGACTTTTTAATGTGATGTTTGGTATCTGATTCTAAATCATATTTTAAAAGTATTTATATTCTTACATTTTTTCCCATATTGTGGTCACAATGTGTTTTATTTAGATATTTTTGTGACAGAACACAAAGTAGTGGATAAGTATATGTGCAATGTTTTAATTTTAAAATAATAAATAAATAATATAAATAAATAAATAAATAACTGGATCTTTTGGTTTACATGCAAAACACATCTTGTCATAGAAAAGTACTTTTCTATATATTTTTAAATAAGCAAACAGATTAAGTTTAAAAATAAGAATAAAAAAACAAGTGAAAAAAATTAAATTTTTTTCCTATTTTTGATTTTAAAAAATGTGAAAATCTTACATGCTTTTCCTTCTACTAAATATGCCCTATGTCTATGACATCAAATAAAAATGGATTAATCAGAAATGTGGTTGTAAACTGAAATGTGAGAAGATTAAGGGGAATGAAACCTTTTACAAAGTACTTCATTTGACTTTTAAATGGACAATCCAACTGACGGCCTTATTAAATCTAAATGTATTGGTTTTAATTAGAGTATTAAATCTAAATGTTATCTAAAACTATATTTGCATTTAGATTTTACTCTGTGTGCATCCACGGTAATTTAGACAAACACATATGTTTCCACTTAGTAGATTTAAACAAACACATTTTATACATTGTGATTGTTAAGGACAGAAGATGTGATTTTCAGCATATTTTGTTTTGTTGTTATTTCCCTTCCATTACCCATTCAGGTACAACATGCCTGATGGCGCTGCTGTCAGACAGAGAGCTCACTGTGGCCAACGTTGGAGACTCCCGCGGGGTGTTATGCGACAAAGATGGGAATGCTGTTGCATTGTCACATGACCACAAGCCATATCAACTTAAAGAGCGCAAGAGGATCAAGAGGGCAGGTATATGCTGAGACAGTACTGCAATGCATCCAAGATAATCAACTGCACCACCCGTCCCTCTGACTTTAGGAGTCTTTGCTGCCATCTGTAGGGAAAAGCCGACACAGCGTGCGGTTACACTGCATCAAAACCAGATACCACACCAGGGGTCTTGGATTCAGTCCTTGAGGTTTTGGTGTCCTGCCCCTTTTAGATGTATCTCTGCTTCCACACACATAGTTTTAAATGGAGTTTTTGCCTTCTCAGTATGACACCCAGTTTACCAGAGTCCCAATGATGTTATTTGATGCAGGTGTGTTGAAGAAGAAATACATCTAAACGGTGCAGGACACCAGACTGCAGGACTGGAATTGAAGAACGTTGCACTACACTAATACCTCACTGAAATATGTATTGCTCTATCTTGGAATATGTAATATTATTAGTTTTATTATGGACATAAAAAGTTCCTTGCAGTTAATCGCAAATTTTACAGCTAATTTTGTACACCTAGTATGTTTGATTTAAAATTGATTCTTAACTTACACCATGGCTACATTAATTCTGCAAGTTTATTGCTTTTTGGAGATATTTTTTCCTACAGATTAATATATTATGTATGTATAAAAGCTATGCTATGTATTATGTTATTTAAATGGGTTTTTAAACAGCTATACGCTCAATCTTAGTCATAGTCATTAATTTAATATTATGAGAGACAAAGAGTGAAAAAAACCAAAAATGAATATGAAAATAAATTAATAGACATATGAATACATAAAAAACATATATTATTGTATAAAAATAATTATATAAAAAAATGTATATATATATATATATATATATAAATAAATGAATAAATATATGGATATGTTTTGGTCATGGAAGAGGCTATTTAAGAAGATTTTTTTACTTTTATTTTTCTATTTTTTTCCACATATTTATTTGTGTATTTTCTTTTTTGTGTATTAAGAAATTTATTTATTTAATTTCTATATGCATTTGTTTCTACTTTTACTTTTTTCTTCCCACATTTATTTCTGAATTCTCCATATGTTGATGAGGCGGGTGGTTTTAACAATCGTCTTCAGCATGATTATTGAACTGGAAGAAGCAAACAGAAGCCTCCTCTCCATCTCCCCTGCCTCCTTGTAGGAACTGTTTGCTTCTGTGTGACTCTCCCAGTTTGCCAATCATGCTGAAGACAATGTTAGAACCACCCACCTCATTAACATATGGAGACAGAAATGCGGAAATACAGAAACTAATGTGGTAATAAATATATAAAAGTAGAAATAAATGAATGTAGACATAAATAAAAAAAAAAAAAGTAGAAATAAATAAATGAATAAATTAGGGCTGCAGCTAATGATTATTTTTTCAAATAATCAATTAATAATAGGATAGCCAAAGGTTCCTTAATTTTGCTGTAATTACTGCTGTACTGGCAAGTACAGTCTCTAAACTCCAGTTAACCGTTGGTTGATTACTAAATTATTTGAGGATTATTTTAATAATCGATTAATCATGATTAATCAAGATTAATCCGATTAATAGTTTCATCCATAGAATAAATGTATATATACATAAAAAGGAGACTTTATAATTTATATATGTATTTGTTTTATATTTATTTATACAATTATATGTGTATTTGTATTTATGTATTTAATTATGTTATGTTTATTTATTTATTTGTTCATTGTTATATTTTGATTATATATGAATTTATTTTTAGATTTATTCATTTATGCAGCCATTTGTGTGTATATATATATATATATATATATATGTTTTTTTATTTTTTATTTATTTTTTTTTATAGGGTTATATGTTTATTTTATATTCTTATATGTATTTATTTTCATATTTAATTTTTGTTCTGTCACTTTTATTTTTTGTTCTTGTCCCTCATACAATATTCATATCCCTTTTAGCAGATATCTAACTATATACAACCTTGCAAAAATGTTTGCTTGCAGGAGGCTTCATCAGTTTTAATGGATCCTGGAGAGTTCAGGGAATCCTGGCTATGTCGCGCTCCCTTGGCGACTACCCTCTCAAGAACCTCAACGTGGTCATTCCCGACCCAGATATAATGACCTTTGACCTGGACAAACTGCAGCCCGAGTTTATGATCCTAGCCTCTGATGGTCTCTGGGATGCTTTTAGTAACGAGGAAGCAGTGCGCTTTGTCCGCGAGCGCCTGGATGAGCCTCACTTTGGTGCCAAGAGTATTGTCCTCCAGTCGTTCTACCGCGGCTGCCCTGACAACATCACAGTTATGGTGGTGAAGTTTAAAAGTGGAGCTGGGGGGAGTAGTAAAGCTGGTGATTAGGTTGGGGGAGGAGTTTAAAGCTCACACTGTGATCAGAATAATTTTTTTCCTCCCTCATTTGGATGCAGCAGGAAGAGCTTTGATGAAAACAGGAAACCTGATTAGCGGAAACATGACAAGTCCACACACAAATGTCCTTACATATAAAAATAAAGCTATGTTTTATGTTCCTGGGTTCAAAAAAACAACATTTAAACATACTATAACTAACCTGTGTATGACTGACAGTTGTTTTAAAAAAGCAAGTACAGAACCACCACAGACACAAGGGATGTTCTCTTAACCAGCATATACCAGACTGTGACTGCATTTCTCCTGTTTACTTTAACTTACACATGAACGGTACAGCTCCACTGGAAGCTTTTTATGGGATGCTTTAAGGAAACTGTGTTACTTTGGAAAGGTGCTAAAAATGCAACTGCAAAACCACCATCTAGCTTGTGGCAATACGATGATGCTCTGAATTGTATGTATCTTTTTTTCTTGAACAGAAGTAATTTGTCAAATTCAGCAAGGCTGCAGTGGATCCAATATGTTTAACTAACTTCAGGCAATGCTCCACACAGATATAACCTTAGAGTATGTAAAAGCCGCCCCCTGCATACTTGAATGGTTTCTGTTAAGTGTCGGAAGTCACGCCCTTAGCATGCATTCAGCATGAATGCATTCCGAACTGCATGGATTCTAGAAAAAAAAAATCTTGATACCAGTAATAGGACATCAGACCACATATTACTCTAGATGTTACATGGCAGGTCCTGCATTTAAAGAACTCTTAAGAAGCACATGTTTCTACATCTGTAAGCTGTCTTGCAAAAAGGTATAAGGTCAAAACAATATAAAAAGGAAACTCAAGACTCTTTATTAGGAATTATGGATTTGCTAATTCATTTTTTTGTTTCTTTTTAAAGAAAAATACTTCTGTATGAAATATAACACAGTTAAAGACCAGTCTTTCATTTCTTTCATTATTATTGTATAAGTTTGTATTTCATTATTACATAATGCAAACTAACTTATACAACACTTGTTTTTGTGTGCCTGTCTTGTAAGAGGCATACAAATACATAATGATCAGACATCATCTTCCTCTGCACATCGAACAGACTGGTAAACCAGGCCTACATGGCTTTTCTATATATGTCAAGAAAGTGGTTCCAGCCTTGCAGCTTCAGGATTCCATGGAATCTATGCAAGTGCTGCTAAAATATTGCAGCAATGACTTGATATTGACGTCTCAAGATTCAATATGCAGACGCTCTGTCTGCGCCAATGAAGATTCATACACCTCGGCCGTTGGTTCAAGAGGCACCTGCCCCATTTCCCCATTTCAAAACTTTTCTCTCTATGATGTGATTTAATTGATTTTGTAATGCGCCTTGATATGACATGTTGTGAATTGGCACCATATAAATAAATGAATTAAATTGAGTTGAAGTACACTAATGAATATTTGATGGACAATTTGGACCATTTATATAGAATTGTGATGGTGGATATAGAAAATAGGCTACATTAAACCCTACGAATCCTACAAAGACATGATAAAAAACTGATAAAAAACAGGAAACCCTTCATTTTTGCATATTCAGCAGATCAACTTAGAATGGGTTTTTAGATATCCATATAATGCAGGTTAAAAAACGCTTTGACTGAAGCTTAGATGACCATAAATGTCTAACATTAGCCTTCTTACAACATACAAAAAAAAAAAAAAAAAAAAAAAAGGGTTGTCATGTGTCAGTTGCTGAACATTTTGGGCTGTTGCTTCTAGCTAATGTTAATGTTGCCCATTTTCCTGGAAGTGACCACTAAATTGCATTAGGAGCCAGCTGAGATCATTGCAAATTGATTTTTCTGTTAACACTCCTCTATGGAGCTGTTTCAAAGCTTTCTGTAGATCTTTTTTTCTATTTTTCCTTTGAAGAATGACACCTATTGAAATCTAATTGTATTAAATTAACCATTTTTGTTGATTTTTTGTTTGTTTGTTTAAACTCTGAACAGTTTATTTTTGAAGCCACCTTTCAAGTCTGCAGAAGATGGGTGGTAGGAGAAATTATGAGTAAAAGGCCAAGTTAATCTTCAATACACATATTCACAAAAAGGGTTCTTTATGGTAGTTATAACATGACATGTCAGCCAATAGCAGAACTAATATACATGTTAAAAGGTTTTGAAGTTTGTAAAACCTGATTTTGTACCTGAAATTAACATCTTTTCAATGTTATGGCATTAATCAACATTTTGTAACCCATTGCAGCAAGGCATGTGCTTTGACTTCTCCGTGTTAAAGAACAAAGTACTGTTCTTAAGATGTTTATCATAGGATGTTGGTTTTGAGCCAATGAGCAAACAAGTCTTTAAGTGCTGAAACAAATGAGAAGATGATTCATCGCAAACTCTTTGCCTCTGAAGGGAATGCTGCTGGTGATAAATCTGATACGCTGCTGAAGTAATACAGCTGACTTCACAGGCAGCAGCTACATGTCAGAGAAAGTTCCAGTAAACCACGCTTGATTTAGTACTGTTTTCACTTCAACTATTACCACTGTGTACTATGACCACGTTATCAGCCGAGGGCAAAGATTAAGAACTTTTTTCTTTTTTTATGATTATTTACCAGTTTACCTGATGCCTTATTTATTGAGTTTTTGGATGTTTCTGACAGATTGCTCAGATCAGCATACTGTATGTTTAATCTCTGTCCTTCTGTACCTCAGCAAACATTTACAATAAAAAGCATTTTACTCTGAAAATTTGAAATTAAGAGTTTTAAAACAATACTTTTTACGTAATATACACATTATTTGGCATTTTTATAATAACAGAAGCTTGAATTCTAAATTTTTACAGCTTATTTGTTTGTTTGTTTGTTTTATATCTTGAACGCAGCTCAGTTTGGCACCATCCCAGCTTTTTGGTTTTGAATAATTTGCAAAAGAGCTCACCAAATATGAAAATACAGGCAGTTGCTGTCAGATAAAGCTCTCAAGTTTTCCTCTTCATGACCTGTTCTGGAATTTAATTCAGATGTGTTCTTATTACAGTGTGGCTGAGTCTGAATAAACACATTGTTGTAAATTAGTCAGTTTACTGTGGCTGCTACATGACTCACCACTGGTGAGCTAAAGTCATGAAACACGTGATCTTATCGGACTCCACCCAGCATGCTTTTGACAGGCCTCAAATAGCTCCTGATCCATGTCATGTCTGTAAGGCAACTTATCCTGCTGCATGCGGCACCTTGAAAGGAGAGTACACAACTCCTTAAACGGACGAGAGGGCAACACTAATAAACATTGGGTGATATGTCAATAAAAAATGCCAAACAGTTGATTGAAAAGGATTTTTGAACAATCTAATATTAATTCTATATCACAAGTTGGTATATTCCCAAAAACTTGTTTTTAAAAAATATTATCAGATGTATATTTTACCTATTTTATCTTCAAATCTTGCCATACCTTTTTAACTGTAATCTGGTGTTGACTTTGATTGGGGCAAGTAACACCTAACAAATTAACCTTCTTTTATCCAAATCAGCAAATTTAGAGGAGCCATTTTTGCCCTCATCTTTACTAAAAAGTTGATAAGTTTCCATTTCACAGCAAAAAAAAAAAACTGATGAGTTTTGTGAACATCAGTATCTATGAACTATTTGTGAATTAGAGTTTAACTATAGCGTTCTTATATCGTATAATATTATAGGTTGAGGAGAAAAAAAACGTTTCAAATTTATGAAAATGACATAAGAAAGGAACAACGCAAAAATAATTATTAGTATGGTTATTTTAATTTTGTGGTGCAAATTCCATACATTTGCATGACAATCACCAAAATTACATTTTTATTTTGTTTTGAAACATTTTTACTTCTTTATCATTTTTGCTCTAACTTAGCATCATTGTGGAGGACCTAACGAGATACATGTGGCCCCTCGAACTGCAGGTTTCAATGCCCAGAACTAAATCTTTGCTAAATAGTAGCAAATAGTTTTTTGTCATCTAGTATGTGAACTTCAACGAGTCTTTAAAACCCTGTATTTAGCCCCATTATCTCCACTTTAACTCTGACTGGCTATTACTCTGAGGGGTTAAATTATATCCACAGTATGATGCTGCCACCACCAAGTCTCACTGTAGGCCTGGAGGGTTTTCAGGGTGAGAGTCTGGATTTATTAACATACAGCATGTGTATGTATGCTATAACGTCCATTGATTGATCGATTTATTGATTGACTTTATTGATCTAAGACCACATTTACACATATTTAGGGAAGCAAATATTTCCCCCCCCTCCGTTTTAAATAATAACATCCTGCACGCAACATTGTTTTCAAAAACATTACATCAGATTACAGATAATAAGAATAATGCTCTCAATGCTGCAGTGTCAGTTAAGGTGGATAACCAAGACTTGGGTTCATAGTTATGATATCCTTTTTTTTAATAATAAGATAAAATAGTTGATAAAATATGACATTTAATATGCTCAAAGCTTGGTATATACAACTTAATTCCTGAATTATTTGCTGTACCTTCTGGTTTTTTTCTTGTAGGGGGACATTATTAAAAAGACAGTTGATTACTGAAGATACTTGATGCCATTTCAGGATTTTGCAGAGGCAAAGTTTTTGATGACAAAAGAAATCCCAATAAATATGTTGTGTTGACACATTTAAAAAAAGATCAAGATCTGTCAAGAGTTGTGTTTACTTTTGCATTGCGCTTCATTTTGTTTTTAAAACAAATGTATAAGGGGGGGAAATTCCCCTGGGGGACGACAGCTCTGATTCAAGGTCAGATATGGCGTGCAGCAGGTGGTCAGACTCAATATAGCTTGAACATGAGCTGATTGCAATGCGGCCTGCCCCTCGCATTGGAGTCGATGCGTCACTCTAAAGTCTTACCGGAACACTTTGCTATGTATTCTTGGCATATATAAGGGAAATAACAGAGGGATATTGACTACAGAGGAAAAAGTAGTCTACCACTTATAAGAAAGAATAAGGATTATTTTTGGCTGGTTTTAGTTGTTGCCATGGGACAACACGGGTCCAAATCCTCCGTTGAAGCACGGGTCATTTTCCACCGTTCTTGTGCAGACGACATGAGCCTGAAAGCACATCCATGCTCTACTCCGTCTGTCCACATCCAAAGGAAGATGCCCTCTCCGTGTAATGCAACTCAGTCCTCTGCTTGGACAGCAGAAAAATCTTCACCGCACTCCTGGCCTTTGAGTCGCCGTGACACAGGGGGGCTGGTGTACGTGATGGATAACCCAACTGGGGGTGTGTGGGTGAAACAGAGGGAAAAATGGACCAGAACCTGATGGAAAGGAAATGTAGATGATTTTACCTGAAGGATCAGTCGAGCTGGTTACCTTTCTATGGATGTGCCTCTCATCCAGGTTTCCTAACCCTGGGCTGCTGTGGCCAGCAGGGCCTGTTTGATGGGGAGTTGAGTTGGTTGCTCATGGATAAGTGCAGTTAAAATATAACTGCCAATTTATTATAATGATACAGGATTTTGGAGAAGAATGACAACTAAGTTGTACAAGAGAAGACAATAATAGATGTCTGCCACGTGTTTATTTGTTGTGCAGTGATCCACAGATTAGGCAATGGATTACATGCACAATTTAAATAAAATATGCCGAATTATTATTACTTTTAAAATCTTAAACAACAAGAGGAGCTGGGTCAGTTTAAGTGCTGCATACACTTAAGAGTATGTCAGTAAAACCTTCCAACGTCTGACCAAAATTTTTATTTATTTCCTTCTCTTTAAATTGTTGATATTCTTTGGAGAGCACTGAAAACCTTTAGAACTCTTTTGTATTTATTCTATGCTATCTTTTTATATTTATGTTTTAATGTAATTGGTGTTGACCCACTTTTATTGAAGTCAGACCAGGTATTTCATGAAATGAATAATATTGTGTTGTTTTTTTTTTGCTGACAAATGCGGTGTGCCTTACACCTGCGATTACATTCACCATCTCCAATGGATTGCACAAAGAATGTATTTTTTCATATTCAATTTCTAGTATTTGAACTGCCCAACTTTATTTATTTATTTATTTATTGATTTAGCTGGAAAGGGCATGTTTATTTTTATTCTTGTACTGTGATGTTCACAATGTTTTTTATTTACACAGAACATATGTTATATTTGTTACTGTCATCATAGTTAACTATGGTCATGTTTTAACAATACAAGCTTCTGACATAGTAAATATGGCTAATGCACATTTGTTTTCATAAGAAGAAAACAACAACAAAAAACTAATAGTCTTCTCCAGAGGGCTGTTTAATATGGCTTTGCACCAATCATAGCTGAAGCTGGCGTCTAGGTATTCCTGTCCGGTGCCAAACCAACTGTTTTATTTTTTCAAAGGAATAAGGAATCTGTTTTGTGATCTGAAATAAGAAACTTATAGTTAAACTGATGGAGTATGTACTACTCTGCCAGACAGTATTGACTCTGCACTCTTACACATTTATAAAGTTTAAGATTTATAAAACCTTTTTTGATTAGGCCTAAATGTTATAACACACACCAAACTCCAAGAAGCATTTGTTTACTTTGGTACTGGGACCACAATGTGAAAACAACAACATATTTAGAGGACTCACACCTGAATACATCACAGACTAGTTAAAACAAACATTTTGTTGATAAAGTTAAAAAGTATTATTCTGAATGAGTAACCACAGAGGGGCCCTTGTGCAAAGAATGAGGGTCCCTCATAGGGTCCCATACACTGCAAAAAAAAATGTAGATCTAAGTAAGTTTGTTCTGGAATTGAGGAGGTAAGTGAGACATTTTGCCAATGGAAGGAGACAATTTACATTTAACCCTTTATAGGGCATTCAATGAAAGACTTTAATCATCTAAATTTCAAGCAAAGAGTACACTGCAAAAACTGAAATCTAAGTAAGTCAGTTTTTCTTAAAATAAGTGCATTTTTTCTTGAACTGACCAGGTAAGTGAGATACTTTGCAAATGGAATAAGAAAATTTACATTTAAAATAAGGAAAAAAATCCAGTCTCCTATTTCAAGAGCATAATATAAAATAGTCTGATTTTAAGGAAAAAAATGGTCCTTGAGCTGTGAGATTTTCTTATTTACCTTCTCAAATTAAGGGTAAATACATTTATTTTAAGACATTTTCACAAATTTAAAGATATTTTTTTGTAGTGTGTTATTGGAATCCAAGACAAGACCTTATTAACTTTGTAACGTTCAAAAAATGTGTATATTTTGATGGCATAAATGAATGTCAATGTAATTAAAAGAAAAGCCAACATGCCCGTATATATTAAGAAAAATAACAAAAGTGCTTCATTAAGAACTTCATGAAAAACCCTCAGAGGGTGAAAGAAATGGCACTCCATTTGTAAGGGGTATGCAAGTGATCAAAAATGGTAACTTTCCCTATAAAGGGTTATAATAAGAAAAAAAAAACAATTGCATTGTCTTATTTCAAGTGCATATTATCATTATCTTATTTTAAGTGTAAAAATACTCCTTCCATTGGCAAATCATCTTATTTGCCTCCTCAAATTAAGGGTAAATACACTTAATTTAAGAAATTTTAACTCATTTTCAAAATGTGTTTGCAGTGTAAAGGTGAAAATATGCGGCATTCTTGATTAAATTAAGAGGGATTGTCATTAACGACTTTCTTTAATGGTTGGTGGAGACATCGCTGCGGAATAAAGGATAGGTCGAAACTTTGCCCTGTGCCTTATCAGCCGTCAGTGCGGAGATAATGGCTTATCTATTAAACTCCGGGCAACGCACTATACAAACATCACATCAGGATTTATAGGGCTGGCCCTCACACCATTAAAGCTTCTGCGTGGATCCACGTCGCAATGGGTCAGCTTATGTCCAAACAACCACAAGTTCAAGTCATTCTCCTCGGTCTGGACAACGCTGGGAAATCCACCCTCCTCTACAAGCTGAAACACAAAACGAGCGTCTCCACCGTGCCGACCATCGGCTTTAACGTGGAGATGCTGGACGCCAGAAAGAACAGGAAGAACATCGCCGTGACCATGTGGGACGTCGGCGGTCAGGGGATGATGCGCGAACACTGGAAGGACTATTACCAAAACGCAGCGGCCATCGTGTTCGTGGTGGACGCCTCCGACTTGCGGCGCATGGAGGAGGCGCGCAGCGAGCTGGAGAAGACGCTGCGGGACGATCACCTGCGGGGATGTCCGCTGATGCTCCTCGCCAACAAGCAGGACGTGAGAGGCGCGCTGACGGTCACCGACATGAAGGACAAGTTTAACATGAGGAAGATGTGCGTGGGCAGAGAATGGTTCGTCCAGCCTTGCTCCGCTTCCACAGGGTTCGGAGTGGAAGAGGCTTTTAAGCGTTTGGTCCAGATGGTGAAACTTCCCTCTGAGCCTGGAGCTGTCAAAGACAATATCAAGGATAGCGTGCACTACCTGCGATCGAACAGCAAACAATGAACTTTATTTATAAGATATGTTTCTCTTTTAACTTATTTGCTCCAACTGCAAACTGCAGCAATCACTGTAACACGAAAATAATGTCAGTACAGTTCACTGTGTTTAAATACACTGTAAAAGTACATTGTACAATTTTTTTTGGATATACATTACATTTTAGTCATGTTTGCAATCTACTTTGTTTTGTTTACAATGTTTCCCCTAAAGTTTGAAATGTTATCTAAACAGAATAAGCTGAGCGAACCGATACCATGGTCAGCTCCACACTAATGCAAGCCTATCATGTCATTCTGCCATTGTTTATCCTCTTAAAATCCCTTTACAAATGTGTAATTGTTCAACAGATATCATTTTTTTAATAAATAGTGTTTCAAATGGTATGGACTGAAGTTTAAAAGTTAACTTAAAGTTTTTGACACCTGATCCCCAAAATGATCTTCAGCCTAAATCATATCTGGAAAACCATAAGACATTAAAACTAAATCTAAAGCCCTGGACTCTGGGGTACAGTAGGTTAACTGTGTGGTATAATGCTTCTAGGAAGACATTTTTTTTTTTTTATTATTTTTTTGTGTGTGTGACTAATGAAATAAGCCAATAAAAGGCAAAAAGTTTATCCTCCTGATTTTGTGTTTAGGTGTCATGAAAGTCTGCATGTCTTTAAACTATTCAAAGTTCAATAAGAAAAAAGACTGATTGTCTAAGCACCACTGAGACCTACTTTCACGTTGGTTCATTGACTTTGTACATCAGGTAGTGTGTTGAACTAAAAGTAAAAAATAACACCCAAGTTAAATCCAGCTTTCTCCATGTGATGCAGCCACCTAAAATACAGCCAATTGTTTCTCTGTGCTACAATAATCCAGCCTTTGATAGCACTTAAAAACTGCAACACACTTTGTAAGGGAATCAGTTATTCATTCTCTCTGTAGAGGATACTAAACCACTACTCAACTTTTAAATGGCTCCCAAAGGTTTGGCCATGTTTCATATTTTTCAGCCCCTCCTGCACTGGCTGTACATATCAAGATTAATTTTAAATGATTTCATTTGCTTTTAATGATCCTGATATCCTATCTGTTTGAACAGCTACAACCTGACACACTCATGTTGGCTAATCATTTGCTCCTATGTGCCAAACACAAAGTGTAAGCTCTGAGTAGACCGTTCTTTTTCTCCTAAATTATTGAATAACTTTTCCTTTTACATTTCAGAAGCCTCTTCCCTTCCTGTCTGCTTTTAAATGCCTCCTTAAAGCTCATCTCTGCTGAGATTTGTCAGGATGTGAGATGCTGACTTAGTTTTTAATGATGCAATTTAAAAAAAGCAATCTGTTTAATCTTTTTTCATTTTATTTCATTCTGGCTGATTGCTTGATGGTCTCATTAATCCAATGCAGGTCAGTTTTTTGGGGATCCCTTTGCTCCATTATAGTTTATTATTGTAGTATGTGGTTGCTGATTTATTTTTTTGTGTGCAGGACAGGAAAACTAAAGAAATGGTGGTATTGTTACTGGTATGATCGTTTCAGAAAATATATTTGTAGATGAGATTGTTTGAGAATGATAGATTGTATAAAACTAGTCTAATAATAATGCTAATGCTAAAAATGAACCTTTCTACATGTCTTGCAAATCTTTATCTTGCCATCAAATTAGAGAAAATATGTTTATTAGTTTAAGATTGTTTCTCTCTAATTGAAACCTATTTTTCTGGTGTCTTTTAGACAAAATTTAGTTGAGCGAACATTTCAAAAGTCAGTTGGGCTTTTTCATCTAATGTATTCTAGATAATCTTGAATAATTTCTATTAAGAAATAAAATCGACCTTAATTAACCAATTTTGTTTAAAAGCCTATGTTCAAATGATACGTTTCTCTTTAACCACTGTTGATTCTGGTTTGGGCTGGTATTAGAATCTTTAACAATTCACTATTATAGATTTATAACATTTAAACTCTAAGAGCAGAAAATTTGTGTCATTCTTACCCTGCTTCAACAAAAGTCACATCTTGGAAAAACAAACATCCTTGACAACTTTTTACTTAAAATCTAAACAGTTGCTTAAAGGATCAGATAGAAACTGATTTAAAGTCATACCCCATGCTGCTGTTTCAAAGTTTAATTGTATTCAATTAATGTTCGAGTCGTTCATATTGGAGGGACCGGCTCGTCCTCTGCTTCCATCCTTGATTGTCTCTTCGTAGGTTGGGAGATCTCTGCATTCCTCATATGTGGGTAGTTTCACAGCTGACGCATGAGCCAAAGGTGGATCAGCTAAAGTTTCCCTCGAACAGCTCTCCATCAGCATTTCTTGAGATGTGGTGACCGGCGGCGGGCCGTTGTGTGGGGGGCTCTGCTGCCTAGACTTGGAACACAGCATCCTCTGGATAAAGTAGCCCAGGGCGAAGAGCAGCAGCATAATGAGCACTCCGGAAAGTTTCCGGGTCACCATGGCGATGTTGTAGTAGGTGTGGTCCACGCGTGGTTTACAACAGGGGATATAGGAGGAGATGTTTTTGCAGCAGATCGGATCATAGCTGCAGGACCCCGTTCCACATCTTTGAATTGAGGAGGCAAGTGTGGGAGTGAGAAGGCAAACGCTGAAAACTATCACTGTTCTGCATCTGATGGAAAACATATCTGTTGGGATCAGAACCAAACCCCTTCCAGCCACAACAATCAAATTAGAAATGTAAAACAACACTGATGATGCGTTTAAAGATTCCAGGTTGGAAACACAGAAATAAAGACATCACAGAGTCACTGCATGCTCAGAGGAAAACAAAACAGGACCAGCTTGTAGTTCCAGTGTTAGCACCATAGGTTACAAAAAACTAAAAGGCAAAACAGAATATGAAAAATGGAAAAAGTTCAACAAGCCCTGGTGTAAGTTTTGTCTCTCTAAATCCAGCTGATGTAGACTTTCATTGTTGCAGCAAACTGTAAATCCAGTTGAACAAATGGCTCACTCCAAGAAGTCGATCAGTTGATTTGTAAAAACCGACAAATGATCTTCAAATGTAAAGCAGAAGAACAGATAGTCAGTATCCCGGAGAAGCGGTGTAGGATTGTTTCAGCACCACGGAAAGCGTTTAACACGCCCTACAAGGGGAAAAAAAAAAAGATAAGAGGGAAGGAGGGAGGGGGCTGCTGTCCTAGGAGCTGACGCATTTAACAACAAATAGCTTAAAAGTCGTCTTTGGCAAGATTACAAGGAAGGTCCATTTGCAGAAAGGCTTCTTATTCACTCCTGGGTCAAGCTGCGTCAGCGCGATGAGCTGATACATTTAGACATTTCCTTTTCCAAAATAAAGAGTGATAATAAACAGAATATTTGTGTAAGCCTCAGGGGAACAGCAGCATTGCTTGGAAGTATGAACAATAAGCAAGAAAAAGAGTTAGAGCTGTGACGGGTGGCTTTACTGGAAGGATTGAAGCCAGCGTTGTGTGTTACATCATAGCCTTAGCAAAGATAATCAATAAAGTGACTGCATGATTAGGTTGTGGGTTGTAATGGCAGGAAGTGGCCCTTAAAAGCATGTCTGAATGTCTCCTAAATTGACAAGAGCCAGTATCATGTTACTGTAGATGAATCTTCGCTCTTGTCTGAGAGATGCGTTGTTTGCATTACAGATACAAACACATTCTTTTAATGTCCACATCTCTGTCTGTGGTTTAAAGAGTCTGAAGATGAAATCCAATGCCAAATAAATAGATTTAACCAGCTATACCAAGGACTAGGAACTAGCAGGTCAGTGTTATATTGTGTATTTTTTGTACAAGGCCATCAGATAAAGAGATGGCAAAAATGTTTGACGTTTGCCAGTATTTGGGGTCTTCATGCAGAATGTTCTCATAGTGATGCAGTTTGTATTAGTGCTCTTGGTTTAAGCTGCATCATGGTTCAAAAGTACTTACCTGATGTAAACCATTTTCCCTTCCTGTTGAAAAGAAATTAGTTAAAATGTGCCCAACATTTCAATCCATTTCTAAGCAGTATGTTTTATTTTCAACCTGAAATGAAGACATCAATTGAATTAATATATAGAAATTTGATCTACAGAACAGTGTTAAGGAAAAAAAAAAAAAAAAAAACTTTGGCCAACCATGGAAGACTAGTTAACCCAATATTTTAACAAACTTGAATGGAAGTATTTCTATTTTTATTGCTTGTTATCACTAAGAGAAAGAACATGCTTAAAGTTTACGCTCTTCCACATCCATGGTTATATGGATCCGGGGTAACAATATTTAAACACCAGGTCCATGGAAGCATCAGCTTCAGTGTTACTGGTCAAATGCCTGCAAAGAGGACCAGCAGTCCTTTTCCATTTTTGCCATATATGCCATTTCTTTTCCTGACGTAAGGCAGTAAAAGTGAGCCCTACAGAATAAAAATGTTGGACATTCTCTTCTGTATCTAAGGTTAGATCTGGAACCAGCATTAGTTGGCTGATAAGCCACCTACAGAAATTTTCACACCGGGTTCCCAGATAATCAGGGTTTGCAGACTCAGTGGAAGCTGCAGACTCTCAGAAAGGACTGTTGAAAAAGATGCAGCAGAACAGTCTCAAAGATGATGCAGAGAGATAATAGCTCTAAAAACCAGGGATATCATTCACACTTTTAAATAGGCTGGGTAACCTAAAACTGGTAAAATTGAGAAATGACTAAATGTCATGTGGAGCTTTTTTTCCTCCCTTTTTGACGTGGTCGTCATCTAATGTGGTCAAAGCATCAAGAGTTTACCAAGTGTCCTGCCAACTTCCTGTCTTTTCTAAATCCATGATGCACCAGTACCAGTAAGAAAAGAAAAGGAGTCTGCATGCTTTCATCACTTTTTGCTTAGCATCTATACAGCACCGAGGCTCTATTAGGAACTCCAGTCTTTCACATAAACAGAGATCAAACAGAAAATGAAGACAAAATTGCTTCATACAGTGTGACGTGCAAATATATCCACCTTCATATGTGTTAGTCTTGTCAGAGCTTCACCTGTTGCTAAGTATGTGTAAATTTCACTTGCTTCCCCCCCCAGAAAGCTGTAGTCCATTTAACTAGCATCATGCACGTTTCTGTCAGATGACATCCAGCATGCCAAAGCCTGTCCAAATTGAACACAGCAGGAATTCCAGCCTTTACCATTGACCCCAAAAAAAGGTAAACAGGAGCTTGATTTACAGTTCATTTCTGGATGCAGCTCAGATTTCTTTGCTTCCACACCTTGGCAGTTCAAAGAAAGCCTTTTGAGCAATAAACCTGCCATAATCTCAGCTAATGCAACAGCGGCTCAAGTGTCTTTTACAATTTTATACACAAGACACCGAAGATGTAGTTGAAATAAAATCTAGAAAAAGCACTTTCCTTGGTTTGACCAATACTGTTGGTTTTCAAAAAAATATATATAAAAAAATCTTTCCATCTATATCCATGCTGTGTGCAGGATTTGGACATTTTTACCATCAACTTTGGTTTGTTTTCAAAACTTAAATCATTATGAACTGATTTTGCTGAAATTTTCAGAGCAGGTCCACATTATGACTGACAAAAAAATTGACATTTTGGCAATGATCTGAACAACCAAAGATTTAACTTCAGGTGGAAACATGACTGAGGTCTCCCCTAATAATTTTCTATTTATCCATTTTCTTGCCATCAAAAATTAAAGGATTATCATAAATTTTATTTGGTAGACGCGTTCCAAATACTTTATTCCAAGATCAATATTAGCATTTGTACATTGTCCAAAAAGTCCTTTTATCCACAATTCCACTCTCCAGTCTGGTACTCCCAGCCTCAGTGTGTGTGTTTTCAGTTTGATTCTTTAGAACCCGATTCTTTTCTGGATGGCAGCACAAACACAGGTCCCAGTTGGGCAGATTTGTCTGAAATCAAACAGGGCTTTAGTCAAAAATGCTTATTGGATCCACCAATTGATTTTAAACAAAACATTTCCCCATTTCCTCTGGTAAGATTCAACAAGTTGGGATATTCATATCAGTACAATGCAGGGTACTCACAATCTTTGTGGTCTGAATTTCTCTGTTGCCTCTTATACGTTCCTGGTTGGAAATTCAAGTAATTAGCTGTGTAATGTTCAGCTTTACTCCGGAATAAATCTTGTGTTGAAGGAATGATGGGCCTCGCTTTGGTGCTGGTGGCAGTTTTGGGAGGTTTTGTGGTTTGAGGTTCCTCAAAACGCTGTGAGACATCACAGCTTCTACATGCCTGGTCAGTTCCATCCACTGACTTCCACCTAGAGAAGTAATTGGAAGAGATTTCTCTTGTATTTTTAGAAATACAACTTGAGTAAAAAATATCAAACACTTATACAACACTGAAGTGGGTATATGATGCAGTTCTACAATATGTGCAGTAATAAGTGTCCTGAATAGGAGGGAAAAAAAAAAAAAAAAAAAAAAAAAAAAAGTCTGTTTACCGGTTTCCAACCAAAGAGCATGCCCGGTTTTGAGAGTTGACAGGCAGAGTGACAGGAACCGCTTTCAAAGAACAGGTTATGTAAATCTGTGGAGAAGAAGTGCTTGTATGACAAAAATAGAAGTATTCAAATTCTCATCAAAACATCAAATAAGCCAACTTTGCACACATCGAATACACCAACTCTCCCAGCTACCATCTAATACTCTAGGTCAGAACAGACTGGATTATTAATCCCTCACTACATCTTTTAAGCTGCTTAGAAAATAAACATGTTTAAAAATAATTTGATAGATATTAGTAAAATCCATCAACTTTCTCCCAATTTAGATGCACATCTGCTGGAAAAAGATTTAATTAATTCAACCAAAAATAGGAAGCTCAATTTTATTACGATCGATAATAGCTTAAAGCCAAGAAAAACCAAAATTCATCTTCCCAAATGAAGGTAAGAAATTTATTTATACTGAAACAACCTTAATTTTGTTGCCTTTACATCAGTTACTACATCAATGCAACATGAGATTGAGGTGATCAGTCTGTGGTTCTACTGAGGTGTCCATTTTAGAGCCCTTCACCAAATTTACACTTATGGTCTGGCATAAAATGTGGAAGACAATACTCCAAAGATTCAATGTAGGGTGCAGGTCAGAACAGTTGCAAAACAATGACACAGGGTGATGCCCAAGTAAGTAGAGTGTTTATACTTTTTGCAACGATAGGTGACAAATTATTAATGCATTTTTAAAATCACAAGGCCATATTCACCTGCATGAATCTTACCTTGTTAAAAAAAAATAGAAATAAAATCTATTAACCTGGTTGCTGGGTTCCTGGTAAAATCTGAAGGCATCTAGCTGGAATCTCAGCTTGTGCTCCTCAATTCTTGGCAAGAAGTGAGATTTGGAGTTTGTCAGGTAAGCATCAACAAGACATCTGTTATAAGGGAATTAAATCAGTTTCATGTCAAGTTACAAAAATAACTTTTGGAGCAGCACTACAGATTTGTCCCACAGCTCACCCGTTATGCTCAATGAAATCATATCGTGGAGATGCTTCTGTATCAGGGGTTGCTGTGGCAACACAGTGGTCAACATAAACTCGAAGAGGCATGTGGTGACCCATGACGATAGATGCTTCAAAGTAAATGGGATCACCAACAAAGAATACGTAAGATCCCCTTTCAGACATCCAATCATCTGGAAAAAAAATAAATGTTTGTTTCCCAAAATGGGGATTGTTTTCCGCTCAAAGATAAATTTAATACCATTCATAATTTGCATATTGAAATATATCTGGTCATCAGCTGAATCTATGGAGACAAAAGGAACCCAGATGGGATACAAGGAGATGCCATCTACAGAATACCTCCTGAAACAACAAAAAAACAAATTGATTACACCAAATGAAAGCTGAATCTTTGAACAGAATATAATTTCAGAAACCATTTTAAATATGCAGGACTTGCCGGTCAAAATGACATTCAACTGGTACAGCCGCATCATCCAGTCTGAGCAATCCATCAGGCGAAGGTCTCGGAGAGTAGGTCAGAACGTTGGAATAGATGATCTTCTCTTCTGTAGACTGGGAAATGACAACTCCACAGGTTTGTGGATGAAAACTGACCAAATGATTTTATCAATCCCTCAACAGCCTAAATGTGTATAAATAGATGGGATGCATCAAGCTCAAATGAGTAAACTGGTGTGCAGGCTAGTTTATTTCTCTAAGCTTACAAGCCCACAGTTTTTAATATTAAAGTGTTGATTGTGTGGTGCTGGGAGCTTACAGAAAGCTTGGTCCCGCAGTCAGTAAACCGGGTCAGAAGGCTGAACTCCTCCTCTCCTGACTGGACCGCTACGCACTCAGTCGCATCACTCGGAGAGTTTAAACCCAGTTTAAGGTGTGCACCGTCCACCTTTATGCCTTTATCAAACATGTCTGACTGCACCACAACCTCCATAAAATCCGGGTGGCACTTTACCACGACTGATGGAGGCTGAACACTGAGCTCCTCACTTTGCTGCTGCTGCTTCATGGCCGACAGCTGAGGCTGAAATCCCCCGTATGCTCCGAGCAAAGCGCGAGGGTGTGACGCTCCTGAGCCGCGGCTCTTACCCAGCCGACCTTCTGTGATTGTGGAAAGTGAATAAAAGAAAACGAGCCACCAGGACACGATTTGTAGCGGGCGGCGGTCCATTCTCAGACACGTTTGGAAGAGACTGGCCCCTGAACCCGCTGAAGTTATGGCCGCAGCTGCAGGTGATTAAGGCTCCTCAGACGCACCTGGTGAGGATTATTCCTCTTAATTAGCGCATTTATTCATTACATGGAGCATAATAATACAAATCTCTGCTGATTTTTGAGTATACATTATTGTGCCTTCTGTATATATATATATATATATATATATAGATATATATATATATATATATATATATATATATATATATATCACATTGGCATTTATAGCTGTTATGCGCTTAATCCCGCACTAGATGGCAACAAAGCTCCTTCCTTTAGTTCTCACACAGTAATTCAAACAGTATGTATGTAACTAACTTGTCCTCTCACTTTGATTCAAAGCAGGGGCGGATTTAGGAAATTTGGGGCCCTAGGCAAAGACTGCAGGCCTTGATGCTCAATTCCAATTTTTTATGTGAAATCCGATTTTTTTGTATTGCAGTTCACATTCCCAAATATATGCGACTTGTATATGATCTCCTGTCTGAAATTCATTTATAAAGCTTAAGTGTCAGTGACAGTAGAGGACACAATGACATCACAAGCTAGCGTGCTTTGTGTTTACGGAAGTAAACGTGGATGTAGTGCTGGAGCGCATCTTGCAATCTTTCCAAACCTTAAAACCTCAATCCTTTCAATCTTTTCAAGATTAAAAAAATACTATACTCCGCATCATCGTCCGCTATGGCGTTTTTTTTTCCTGCGGCTTTTTCATAGCAAGAAGCAGAATAGTGACCTTTGTTGGGTATTAATGGCATTCAGGTTGGATGAATACGAACGACCTGGCCGTTCAGACACAGGTCGCAATTGAAAAGTTTCAAAGTATCAGATTCAGGACCACATAGCCAAGTGGCCTGGGTCACATTGGAAAAAATCAGATCTGTGTTGTTCAGACAGCCATGAAAAGATCAGATCCAGGTCGCATGTGGGCAAAAAAATCGGATTTGGGTCACTTCAGCAGTGCGGTGTGAATGTAGCCAAAGAAAGGCATGGGGCCCTCTGAACTGAGAAGACAACACATAAAACAGACCCATTATAGAGATACAGAAATTTTTATATCATAGAAATCCATTATTTGTTCTACGTTTTGTCCCTCTTCTTGTCGTTTTCCTCTTTATGTTTTGTACTCTCTTAAAATGAATGAAACTAAGCTCACTTAACCAATTGCTCCTTCCTGTGTTTCCAAAAAGATGACAGCAAAAGAAAAAAAAATAGTCCTTCTTTCTGCTGTAGACAAGCCATGATCTGCTAATCTATTCTCCATTTTTCATTTGTATGAAATAATAGCTGCATGAATCATGACAGGAGACAAGAGAGAGGAGTGCAGGAAGCGGGGTTACCAATCTATTTGCTCTGGAGAGCAGAGTTCAGTGCTCCTATATCTTGTTGCCAAAGTCTCCAGTAGCAGAAAAAAGTCACTAGATTTGGCGCTAGAAGCTTTTTTGAAATAGGAGCGCTAGAGGGGTCTAAAAAGTCGCTGAATACACCTGTGCCTGAGACACACTTATTATAAGCATTCTGACGGTGTTTTACAGGTATTTTATCAATGAGTGTGAATGGTTGTTTGTCCTGTTTGTCTCTGTGTTGCCCTGTGACGGATTGGCGACCTGTCCAGGGTGGACCTCGCCTCTCACTCGTAGACAGCTGGAGAGAGGCACCAGCACCCCTCACAACCCCAGCTGGGATAAACGTGACAGAAAAAGGATGGATGGAAACACTGTATTTAGAATAATATGAATGACTCACAAGTTAAATCATTCTTATCAATTTATGTTTTCACAACTTTCATGAATTGTGAGATATTGTAAGATTTGAATTTTTCAGTGAAGAAGAGAAATGCAGGTGCCACCAATGACCCATCTAACTTTGTAAACTTTTTTTTTTCTGCTTTACATTTTTCAAGTTTTAATTTGTGCATGAAGATTCAATTCAATTCAATTCAA